CTTATCCATCCACTTGATCCAGGTAAGAACTGTCTTGGTAGTCATAAATTCAGATTCTCCTATGTCCATTTTTTTTGGATTTTTTATCATTGATATTCGTTGGTAGACCAGAACGATTCTGCCGAACCATGCCACATGCGTTTATTTTATCTTCTTTCAGTGATGAAAGAAGTTTCATCCCAGTAAAAAAATTATCGAAATATACGTGATGATTGCCATCAACAAGTTCTCGTGTAAGGTCTTTTACAACTCTTGTTCCCAATTGTTTTTCAGTGTTGTCTACTTTTCCAGTATAGATTTGAAACTGGCATACGTAACCAGACTCATCTGCGCGAGTCCAGCACTTATATCCGCGCTTTATAGGTTTAGCTGGCATGTATTGTTTCATAGTACTTCTTCCCTTGAATTTTATCATAGACTCATCTACAGATTAGTGCTTACCAGGATTAAAACTTTCTTTGAAGGTTCGAGAAAGGTCGTCTAAAAGTGGTCTTATCTTATACAGTTTATCGTAATTTGGATCACCTTTTTTTGGTTCTTTGAGTTGTCGTTGACATGCATATGAGACAGAAAAAAACTAAAACGATTAACAGTCATGAGAGATGATATGTAAGAATCACGTAGCTGAGGGTTTTCACTCCAATAATCTCGGTAAGACGGCAATTTTTTTATACCCATCAGAATGTTAATGCCTAAAAATATTTTTAATTCTTCTTTTGTGATGGGATCTTGCTTACCCTTTTTTTGAGAAATGTACAGATTAGTTTGATGTACAATATGATCCAATAGATCAGAAGAAAATAAACAAGAGAATATGTCTAATGGGGATTTCGCTGTATCTGGAGTGTTTGGACCAAAGCTTTTAGAAAACATATAATCCGATATTGGCCGACAAACAGACTCCCAAATCTCAGATTGATTTGAATCATCAATGTCTTCTGCGTCCATTGATTCTTCTTCGTCATCGTTATTATTTACAGTAGAAACATTTTCGTCTAAAAGTGATCTTGAGTTTACAACGTCTTCTTCGTTGTCAGAATCTTGAAGCCCATCAACCGATTCAGAATCGCTAGGAATTTCGGTTGTAACAACATTTTTTTTTCTCCCCATATTTATAACTTTTTGTAACTTTGAATACTTTCAATGTGCAAAAAGTAACTTTTATAAAAAAAATATAAGCTCACGAAGTCATGTAAAAATATAAAATTAATATTAGTTTTGATCAATAGAATTTGCAATGAAAAGTCAGAATTTTTGAAAATATTTCAGGATTGTAAAAAAAAGTTATTATGTTTATTTCCTATTCATAATAAAAAAGAGTTGTGATAAAAACAAAAAATTACCTCAAAATATATCACCTCATCTACGATTTAGATGTAAACCTAAACTACATATAATTTTTATCTCGATTTTTATAAAGTGATTTCGAATTGGATTCAACAAGTAATGATTTATGAGCTGTTTTTAAAATTTTGATACTACCATCTTAGATCCGCGATTTTGAATTGAAAATTTGACAATTTTGATGTTAGATTAATGATCGGCAATCTTAAAAACCCCCAAGTAGAGATTTTCAAGTTGATACATTTATTTTTTTTTAATTTCTGCCGCCATCTTAAATACGCTATTTTGAATTGAAAACTTTGGAATTCCGACTTTATTTTTGTAATCAGCGACCCCAAAACCCCCGAGTAGAGATTATTAAGCTGATATATCTCTTTTTTTCAAAATTTTGGAACCGCCATCTTGAATACGCCATTTTGAATTGAAAATTTTGGGATTTGGACTTCATATTCGTAATCAGCGACCTCGAAAATCCCCGAGTACAGATTTCAAGTTAATACACTGATTATGTTTTTTAATAATGAATTTCTCCGAAAAAAATGACATTTTTTCATGTTTGTTTATTTTTATAACAATTATAAGAAACAATTTTGCCAAATAAACCATTTTCCTATGTTCTCTTACTAATAAATTAGTATATGAACAAAAAAACCGGATGTAAATACGTTAACAATTGATTAAATAGCGAAAATGTGAAGTCAAGTTGGTGGTAACCCACGTTACCACAGTGCAACAAAGGGTTAATATACCTTTATAGTAGTTGAAACAAACACTATCTGATTCCAAACATTTTTTCTTGGATATTTAGATTGAAGTAACACTGCCAAGTGGCCTAATTTTCTAAAGAGTATTCTACTACTTTTGTATGTGGCTTTTGTATGGACATTTAAAAAATCGGATATTTTACTTGTTTTGTAGAAAAAATATCCATCTTTAACAGTATTCAATTCGAGAATAAACTTTGACTGTCTAATTATATCAGAACATTTACAAGATGCTTATTTTCTCGTACAAAATCAAATGTTTATTATACTTACAAATTTATTCGGAATTCAGCAACAGGATTACTTTTTGCTGGAAACTAGTTCAGAATATACCTTTCACTATTTAGTAAACTGCTATGCAAGAAAATAAAGCAATATTTGGCATCCCTTATCATTGTTACTCTTAGATAATTCGATTTAAACTATATATATTTCGATGCCATATATCCTCACATCATATCACTTTAATTTATAACTAATTTATTTCGTAAATTAGAAGAACTGGTTTTGTTACATATATTCAAACATTGTAAAATTATAAAAATAAAAAAAAATGTTCACTTACAAATTTATCTAATACCCAAGCAAAAGTTAAAAATCGCAAAAGCGAAACGTTTTACTTTTCGCATAGGGCCCTCGTTCTGACATTCCTTTTATCATTATATTTTTTATTGATGAAACATGTATTTGTTCAATGTTATTTCATTTTCTCAGGATTTATTTTTTTACTTGTTGGAATGCATGTTGAATTTCGATAAATTATAATTTATTATGTATACAATGTTAAGGTAAAATTTGCATATATACAATCAATTTTGTATAATAACGTTTTTTTCATTCATTGTACATGTAAAAATCTCAAAGAGAAATGTTAAAATAATAATATTGAAGTAAAATTTAGGGTATCGATATATTTTTAATTATATTATAACTAATTTTCATATCAAGAAACATTATAGGCTATAGAATAATAAAAAAATAAATATAAGCTTGCATATATTTTGACGATCAGATTTGATTTTTTATTATATTTTTGACTGTTTTTTTTTCCTTATATTGTAATGGTGTGAAAATGGTATGTAATACATCTAAATATTATACGGTAACAAATCTAAACAATTCATAACTCAATAGTTACTATAGTCTAACTTACTATAATAAAGATAATATGTAAATTTTTATTTTACAGTATTTATCTTTAACTATTATATCCTATACTTTTATGTTTTGTTTTTTTCCAATCCCACAAATAGAAAGAGCTTCCCTTTTTTTTCGGTGATCGACATTTATTGAGGTATATTTGCCATTTGATTATAAACATTAAATTAGAAATTAAGGAGGTTTTAGTTAAATATTGTTATCATTTATAATGACTGTACAAAATATTAATATAAATAATAATAATGGTAGCAGCTTAGAAATTATTTTTCAAATTTACTTGAAAAAAAATAGTAGTATAAATAATAATAACGATAGTAGCTCTCAAATTATTTCTTAAATTTACTTGAAAAATTCCCTTACATTTTAATTTAATGGATCAACTATCCTCACATTCTATATGATGAAACAATATACTTTCTTTACCACTGAATTGATATGAATTAATAAAATTATAAGTACATTCTGATTACTTTTTGTAATTAGAACCTTGAGAATATGGAAAATTTCTCAAATTAATATGCAGTCAAAGATTTTAATATGAAAATAATTTTAAACATGAGTTATTATGATTTGCCATTTGATTATAAACATTAAAACATTAATTAAGAAATTAAGTGAGTTTTAGTTAAATATTGTTATCATTTATAATGACCGTACAAAATAGTAGTATAAATAATAAAAAATGGTAGCAACTTACAAATTATTTTTCAAATTTACTTGAAAAAAAATAGTAGTATAATTAATAATAACGATAGCAGCTCACAATTGATTTTTTAAATTTACTTGAAAAATTCCCTTTTATTTAATGGATCAACTATCCTCACATTCTATATGATGAAACAATATACTTTCTTTACCATTGAATTGATATGAACTAATAAAATTATAAGTACAATCAGATTACTTTTTGTTATTAGTACCTTGAGAATATGGACAATTTCTCATACTAATATGCAGTCAATGATTTAATATGAAAAAAAAATGAGTTATTTGCCATGTTTGCGATGAACATTATTTATTTGATACTATTAATATTTTTCAAACTACTTGTTTTTTGTATTAATTAGAATCATAGTAATATACAATTTTTCAAAGTAATATGAAGTGATATGAATTGATGGAATATCCGTAGTTTGAATTTTTTATTTCCAATCATATGGACTCTTTTTGTGAAATAATATTAAGAATTAATGTGCTAATTCAATAATATGATTTTATATATACAATAAAATTCTGAATTTATGTATATATAAAATGGAATACAGTTGAAAGCTTAAAATGTAAGAAATATATAAAGTTATGATAATCTAGATATATAAAACCAAGATATTGTCCAGTAGAGTAGCAAATTTAGTGAAATTGGGGTAGTCCGTACGGACGGAACATATTTCCAGGATGGCTGGATACGTATACCCTGTGGGAAAAGTCTTGGTTTAACAAGTCAAACTGAATTCCTAATTATACGGAACCACTTTTCTGAGATCAAATTCAATAGGCCCTCTCTATATGACTGGGCAGTGAACGAGGGCCCAAAAAGTTCAAAATCGCAACAAATGGCAGAGGATTTAAAAAATAATATTTTTAAATTGGAAATTTTAAGTCTAAACTTAAAATAGTCATGCAAAATATAATTTTGAAAATATCAACATAAAAAAATATGTATCGGCTTATTTTTCAAGTAGAGCAAGCTTCTTAAGTATGAAAATTTTTGGTGACATGTGGACTACCAACCTGCCTGAGTTTAAATGGATTTGGCGATATATGCTTAAGCATAGGGCCTAGTTCCTAGGAAAAAATCTGACCTGAAACATACATTGCTCATATACTTCTTTGGCTATATAGTTTACTTTTTAAAATTTTTATTTTTATATAAATTAATTCTGAACAAATATGATATGGAAATAATTTTAAAAATCCGTTACTTTTCATTAACACTTTATGACTTTTGATAGTATGAATCTATGATTGATTACATCTATAATTCCTTATAATTAGAAAAAATTTTAATCCATTTCATTTTTTTATTTTTTGAAAATCAATAAAAACGCTTGAATCACTAGCTCGGGGAAAGAAGATAAAAGATTTATCATTTAATTCCAAGTCTGAATTCAAAAAAATTTTCAATCGTTATATAACTTGTTATAAAGTCATATAATGATTCCCGTATCAAATTTTTTTTTCGAGAGTATGCGGTCCAAGGACCCTCGAGGCTTGGGGTTCCCAGTTAGCTGTTCTCTTAATCCAGCGGTGATATATATTAATCAACAAGAAATACATCACATTTCCAAATTTCAATTGAATTGAACAGATTTCGTCATTAAGCTAAAAAATATCACTTTATGTATCAGGTATATTGGATAAAGTTTGATCAAAATAAGGAAATAATTATAAAAAAGGTACCTAATGAAGGAGGAAGAAATAACAAAATTAAATTATCATAAATTTTTCAATAAAATAAAATTTAATATTAACTGCACGATACTAAAAAAGACATACGTATTTGAAAATTATGTTTACTTTATTAAAAATCTATGTAAAATAAGCATAAGCACGCCTGGTAATAACTTGACGACGTATTAGACAATCATAAACAATTGATGCACATCTCATGCACGCAGTGACATGTCTGCATGTTAAAAAAAGCACAGCAATCTTCGCATTCAAATATTTCTTACATATTGCAAATTTAAGCTGATATAAAAGATCGACTACATCTCATCGAGACTGTTCAATCCTTTCAGTAATTTTTTTTTTCATATTTTCATCCTGTTCGTCATCTAAGCACAAGTTCTTCATGCACCGATACTATATTAGCAGTTATATACGTTATGTTTCCGAAGTATATGTTCAATGTCAAACATAAATCAAAGACAAACTTTTTCATAACACTTTCTCTCGATAATAACGCAGATTTATCTGTTGCTGTACTTGTGTTAGTTCCAAGCAAACTGGTTGTTATTACGTTCACGCTATTGGTTCCAGATAGGTAGGCTAGTTATTACTACTGCTTCGCGCGCTGGCTATTTTCACGTCGTTGTCCAAAACTGCTCACGAACACCGATACTTTATAGTAACATATTGATACAAAGCTCAATCCGATCCACACAGAGACGGAGCTCCTGTTGCCGACGAAATGGTAGAGGCCAGGTCATCGCTGATGTTTCGTCATAGGATTATCATCTTCTCAATGACAGATTTTTATGCTACATTCAAAACAGCATACTCGATCAATCTGCTCATTATATAAAGCCAACTAAGGCTAGATCTGTTAATTGCATATGTGCGCATGACCATTCAGCTGTGAAGCTATCCAGGCTCACTTGCTCAAGTTCAAACAAAAGTGTCCCAAGAGTTGAAAAACATATAAATTACTCTCTAATAAACGATAAAACAATTATCTGTAATCCATTTCGTTGGCAATCATTGTATAATAGTTTACCACTTTTTTACAGTTGAGACGAGTACGTTTGATACGAATAATCGACTGCGACTGGTAATAAAGTGCAGTTCATTTTTATAGCGAAGGTATCAAATAATTGAGTTTTGCCTCTTCAACGACTCTAAAAAAAAATTTATACATTCCATATATACTATTAAAAAATTATATATTATTACAGATTATTTCTTGCATATTAAGAAATGACTTCAGAAAATATATAAATATACCTATTTGACATATATTAATTTATTCGAAAAAATAATTTATTGTATGTGAGATTATATATAAATAATATTAATATGTATTAACTGTATTCAGTGATTATGTTTTTATCTCATATGCCAACACACAAATAATATATATGTACGCAAATATGTATACAAACCAATAAATTTACTAATTAAGAGAGAATTGTATTATAGGTATTTCATAAGGTAGTCTACATGTGAAAGAGACAAGAAATAGACTTTATAAGTGAGTTAATAAGTTATCGAACAAGTATATGGATAAGTATATACATAAGTATTAAGGTGAGGAATTGGTTAGTGAATCGGAACAGCCTGAAAGAGAGATAGAATGAAAAATAATAAGATAGAGTGAAGGGAAGAAAAGGATACAGAGAAAAAGTAAGAGTGGGGCGTGAACAAGTAAGAAAGATAAAAACATGTACGTATTGTATTTGTGCATGTATGGCTCGCGCGCGTGGATGTATGTGTGTATGTGTAGAGAAAGAGAGAGAGAGAGAGAGAGAGAGAGAGAGAGAAGCAAAAAGGACAGTGTGAGTAAGTGAAAAAGAGAGTGAATATACAAAGATATATAAGGCAGAGTGAGATAATAAGAGAGAAATGCGTGAAGCATAGTAAGAAAGGGAAAGCGAAAGAGGGAGAGAGAAGACAAGTGAGTGGACGTGATCAACAACAGCTGAAACTCTTTCGTTATCGAATTTTGTATAAAAGAGAACGCCGCCAGTTCCAAGTTATTCATAACTATCTGGGGTAACAATAATTTCGCTTCAAGGAGTAGAAAAACAGTTAATTAGCATTTAACTGTTATTTATACGCATACTCATAAACATGAAATTTAAAGCATTGATAACGGTTGGTGAAGCTGTAATCTTGAAAAAAAATAATATCCAATGGTTTTCATCTGGCAGATACTTCTGGTTTGTTGATTACTATTATTAATATTTTTTTGAATTATTTTACGATAAATCTGTTTGATTCATTACTATTCTTAAAAATATCATGCATAATGAAAAATTTTTAATCTGCAATTTGACTAGTGACCACGTCGCTACGTTTCAACATATGTGTGTATTAATAATGAGGAAAATTTGTGAGTATGTAAAAAATTATTGATAGTCTATGTAACAATTAAAAACATATTATCAGATCTATTTTAATATATATTTAGAGCTATCCATTGATCCGATACTCGCGCCAGGTCAAATATTACATTTTTCATTAAACTTTCATACTTAATTATAGAGAGTGATAAATAATAACAATTTATCTATAAATTAATTAACAACATATTATTTATAAAATCTTATTATTTTATTTTCTTAACTAATTTAGAAAATTTGTTTCAATATCCATAATATGTTATCGTTATTTTATTTTTTCAATGAATTCAAAAAAACTTGATCAAAACAAAAGTGGAACACTATTAGTAACATTATGTAGTTGTTTAAAGGTATTCGTACCGTCGTTTTTGATTTCGCGGTTAGTAATTCTTATCATTGGTTAGTCTGAATTATCAAGTACTTTACTTATCGTTTCTGATGACGATAATATTTCACAACCGTTTCGTAAAATACTAGAATGTATTTTAAATCGATAATGACAAATTATTTTTATATGTTTTATATTTTTATTTTACTTGAGTATTTTTATTGAAGTGCTTATTATAATAACTTTATAAGAATAAATAATTTATGTATATTTTGAATTGCGAATTTACCAGTCATTTAACAATTATAACGATCACAAAAGTAATTTTTCGTATAATACTATAAAATACTATATAAAAACGAGACAATAAATTTATATTTGATAATTTAAATAAATTAAAGAGTTTAATTAAACTTAAATTGTTTGGCGGCTAATATTGTGTATGTACATAATAGTTGTATTATTTTAACGAACATCATTAAATTTAATATTATAACGACGTTGCTTGAAAAGTTTCTATGGTAAAGTAGTTTTTGAGTTAAAACTTTTGAAATAGCTTTAATCAAGATTCTTTATAAGAATAATCTTTATAAGAATCTAAATTTAATTGCAAAATTGAGAACAAAATTTTGAAAAAAAGAGTATTTAATATGAGCGCTTATAGGAAGTTCGTATATGATATACTATTTGTAATGTATTAAATAAATTATAAAAATGTTAATTTTTTTAAAAAAATACTTTTTTTTTTGGAAAAAATGTTGATTTTTTATGTTTTAGCATAAAGACATGTATTTTGTTTTTTGTTGTAATTTCTCACTTATACTATAGCTGAGGTCTGTCAAACATTAGCAGAAATTTTTGATACGTTAAGGATGGCGGCAGAACAAATAGAACACAAATTTAGAATATTAAATAGTAAAAAACAACAGACACGTACCCAGCAATTGCTTTTATTGAAGGTTTAATTAATTAATGTTTTTCATTCACACATATTTTTCATAAATGTTATAAGAATACAACTTTTAAAATAATAGAAAAAATTCTCTAAGATAATTTGTTTATTTATTGACAAAAACGATCGAAATATTGTAATTATATACACACCAAATCAATATGTATACGATAATCAACAAATTTTATAAAACTATAGTTTTTATTATTAATAGGAAAATAAATCCAATATGAAAATATTAAGCTATAATTTTTTAATAGAAGATTATTTATATATCTGACATCTCATTTTAAAGTTCGTGAAAGAATCTTTAAGATAAGCCTTCGTTATTTCAGTAGTATTCATTTATTTAATTTTCGCTATGTAAAATTTAACTTTGACCTATTCAAGAACAAGCTGACCTGTTAGTACCAGTAAATGATATTTGACAGTTTTAATATTCTTATAAATTACGACTCAGAGTTCCCGAATGTCAATGTTACAAGATTTTTAACTTTTAACGAAAATTTAAAGAAAACGTAAAAATTTACAAACAGCGTATCTTAAATATTATGTATGTGATGTTTCAAAATCATAGATGATATTTAAGCTGATTTGATAATAGAAATAAGACACAACCCCCATAGTCCCGGCATTGCGCAAATTAATTTACGCAATTTGTTTTCCCAATGTCATAATGTAATTTTTTTTTTATTAAATGTTGCAGTTATTAAAAACTATAGTTCTATAAAGGTTATTGATCATGTACAAATTTTGTATGTATAAAAATACAGTTTCAATGCTCTATTTCCATATAATATCTAAAAATAATTATTTTTATATTTATAAATGAGAATTTCTTGAACATTATTTATAATAAATTTGCATTCTATTAGGGAACAAAGATAGAAATTTCTGGTGTTATTTTGTCAGACTACGTGGGTGGTGCTAAATCGTTAAAACAATTACTGCTTTGAAAATTTTTTTCCTCTTTTAAAAAAGGTGATGGAAACCATCTTCAGGAGGTTGCTTAGGTTTATAATTAATAAACAGGTATCGAAGAAAAATTGAACATAAGCTTACTAACGCGCATAATATTACCTGAGAAAGTTTCTAGATACTTGGGTACATTACTAATAAGATATTTCTTACGTCTGAAATTTATAAATATTTAATTTAATTTACCTGAAAAATCAGTCTAGAGCAAGCAAAGCTTGATAAAATTATCGAAAGGAAAAAAGAACCTATCGTAGCAGGTTACCCTTCGCCGCCTTTTGGGGTGTTGTTTCCTTTGCGATTTGTCGATCTGCAGTTCGACGTTTGACAAGTAGTGGAATGTTCCTAAAGCACCGTTCACAGCCAGTCACACTTCACAAGTCGAGAGGGATTAGCGGAATGTTTCGGTTTGAGTTGAACTTCACGTTTGGCTTCCGGTTGCCGAGTATTCCCAGTCCTCCCTGCAATCGAGGAAAAAGCCCCCGATGGTCCACCCACTGGCGTACTAACCAATGTCACCGGTCAATGAGCTAATTTGGTCAATAAGCTTCGCGAGTCGTTCCTTATCCTATTCAGCAATTCTCGCGAAAGCGTGAGAAAAGAGAACTGTCTCTCCCGCTTCCGCGACGTGCTTTTGTCAAAAGCGCATATTAGACGGAAAGCTATACGTGGCTTTCATTCTCCGCGGGAAACGGCATCGGCTTACATGCACATTCCGTCTGGAGGTCGATCCGTACCGAAGCTGCCAAAAGCGAGGAACCGCGCAGTTAGCCGTTTGAGAAAGTAAAAGTCTTGCATGTGCAAACTGCTATTTCGACAACATATCAGCGTCTGGTGTCTGGCTTGCTTGAGACGTAACAATATTAATAAATAAAGTTTCCGGTATTCAACATAGGCTTTCATGGGTCTTTGGATTTTCAAGCCTTACAAATTGAAATATGAAATAGGATTAACAAGTAGTTTTCGATGAAATTATCATCAGCAGGAGAAAAATATCTAAGAAATATTATATAAGCTTAGAAAACTTACAAGGGTAATTGTAAAATTCGCAATTACGGTTTTTTCCGTAAAATTATTTCACTGCATAATAACCCCCATTACGTACGGTAGTGGTAACGTCGCAATCCCTTACCGTCACGACATATTTGAAATTTGTATACTGTAACGGGGGGAGATCTTGCAAAAATGGGAAATTAATTTATAAGCAAACGATGCAGAGCAAACCGCCGCTCCGTTAATCACGTATGTAAGTACGTGTATTCGCCTTAACGTCAGCTGACTTAACTTGGTTGTCTTCGATCAAGCAGAGTTGAACTCACCTTAAGTCACATGTATCGTGACACTCGATGAGTTTGAAGTGTGAGCGACTTTACTCCTTCTCCGCTTAATCCCCTAGGCGTAATAGGATTAACACCTAAGCCTATTTCAATTTCTTAAACTATTAGGAAAATCATATGACGAAATCGGCGAATAAGTTAACAAAGTTTATTCATAAAAAATCTATACAGTCTTTGTCGGGCCGAAAGACTGACGCACGCGAATAGGATTTACAATTAAATAATTTTCCGGTGAGAAAGAGAGAGAGAGAAGATACGAAAATTGGCGCGATCTAACGCTCGGCGCGAATACAAATAATTAACGCTATTACGATCGGACAAAATACCGATTGTATTTTGTGACGCGATAATTAAGGGAGGTGCACCTACTCTGCGGTGCAATTCCGGTGATCAGCCGTAATTGTTGATGTCAATAGAATGTATCAACTGCCTCCGGTTCTGTTATATCAGCTGCGCTGTCTCGTACCGCCTATCAGCTGCAAATATGCTGCTACCGTGATACTGCAATCTGCCAATCACGTTGTTGCACTCGCGCGCGTAATTATTCTGGATCAAACTATCACTCGGTGAGAAAACAGTGCAAACAAAATTCCGGCGATATCCTCTCGTATCAACAGCTGAGGCGTAACTGCTAATTTAAAAGATCGCGCGCCCCCTCTCTCTCTATACTTAGAACTAACGCGCGAAATTCAGAATCGCGAACGTGCGATTAATTGAATCGACTACCGTTGCAATACATACATAATGATATGACGATATAATTTATTAAATTCAGCCAAAGATTATTGACTGCAATAAAATTTAGAGGAAGCCAGTAAGAAAAATATGATTATTGAATAAAAATTTTTTTTATTAAAACATCCAACCAATTTACATTTTGTAATAATCATTGTGAAATAATGGCAGTTTCGTTAATTTATTACCTGTATTTTATGAAGAATTTCATAATTTTTGGAATTCATGCATTTTTTTAATAGCTTTTATTAATTACATAAGTTCTCTAAATAATAGTGAAAAATATTTACTCGTTAATTTGCGAGAAAAATGTGTAAATTTTTGTAGCGACTGATTTTGATTTGGTAACTCTGACAACACCAATTTAATTATCACCAAACAGATTAATTAAGTCTATTAATTTATGTTCCTCGAATGTATCTGTTGGAATATTAGGATAAATCGAAATAACAAACACCTTTTAATTGAATACATATATATAAGTGAAACT